CATCAGATGTGCAAGAAAAAAAGATGAAGACTTTAGCTATGCAGCATGTATTTTTTTGTTTAAATTCAAACTGGGACATGTTACCAGATGCTTTATGCCTTTTACAGACTGCCTTATGCCAGTGCCTTCCATTTCCATCTGTGCCTAGAAAACGATTACCTCCAGTATTAGAAATATTAATTTAGTTGCCACCTCTTTAAATTGCATGTGAAAACTTGTCCCTCCAGCACTCCAAAATAATAAGAAATGTTACAAAGAGGTAGATAGTATCAAAACCTTAAAACACTACTATAACATGGTATAAATTTGTTTTTTCACTGCTAAAATAACCCTACAAATTTTATGACTGAAGGTGTTGATAAATATGTATGCTTATTTAAAACTTACCAAATGCTGATTGTGTTTCAGAGGTGCTCTTCAAACTGCTGAAAGGAGGAGTACTAGAGACACTACTGCTTCCATTAGACAGCCCTTCCAAAGGTTTTATTCCTGCACTATTCCCGAATCCACTGAAGCCACCTCCTCCTTTCCCAGAAGGTAATACAAAGCCTTTAAACCCTTTAAAAGCTCCTCCACTTTCAGACTGGGGAGAAAAAAAAAGAGAGACAAACAGTTACATACATCTTCTTCACACAAATCCTGTCCCCACTTAATATTGTTGATATCCTTGGTTTGTTTTTCCCTAGTTCAGCATGTCATTCCACGCATTACTGTGTCAGCTAGACAAACAAAATTAACAGCTTCCTTATGACACACACTGCTTCTGTTTTTAACAGACTCAGATGTTTGGTATGAAAATAAACTGGATCTAGGATGTGGATACATGGAAGTTGCTCAGAGCTGTGGATGTGTTTGACTACCTATTAGACATTCACGGTATCTTGTTTTCTTTAAATAACTACACAGGATTAATGTAGTTTCAGGTTTATTTTCAACAACTATTAGCATTTACAATGGCAGTCAAGAGTCCAAGACTTTAATCCACTCATCACTCTGGAGTCACCTATGAAACCTCTTCTGATTTACCCAAAATATTCCAATGTGACTGATGGATGATGCAAAGACAAACTGTACTTGACCACAAAATATCTTTATCTGCAAACTTTTCATTACCCAGTTCTGATCACTGTCTTTGCAACCATATTATTTTATGGTATAGTTTCTTACGTGTTTCTAAAAGACAAAGTACAATTAACATGCAAATAAAGAACTGCAATTTTTAGGCCTTTGGAGGTCATGAACTTTTACTACTCAAAGTGAACTTTCAGTGTCTCTGGAAAACCATCAGAGGAGAACTGCTTCTGAGTTTCATCTGCTTTTGAAGAAATGGCAAAGCTTGTCCATTTCAGGCTGTATTCCAGTATCTGACCTTGTGGTTATGGGTCTCCAGCACAGTCCTCTGCTTCAAATTCCTAGGTAGGCATTTTTCTTATGTTTCTCTCTGATCAGTCCTACCTTTCTCTCTGAGTATTCCAGTTAAACTGCTGTCTTTTTCACTGCAGCATTCTGCTTGCTCCATGTAGGAACATCAGCAAGTTTCAAGTTTACCTTTCTGTAAATATTTCACAAAGTTTCTTACACAACTTCAGCTGTCCTGTCATCTCTGCTGCATTTTAGATTTTGTCCAGCCTGTTGTCCTGGTTTTGGCTGGAATAGAGTTAATTTTCTCCCTAGCAGCTGGTACAGTGGTGTGGTTTGAATTCAGGGCAAGAAAAATGTTGATACTAAATGGATGTTTAAGTTGGTGCTGAGCAGTGCTCACTGCAATCAAGAGCTTCTCAGTGTCTCATGCTCTGCCAGCAAGCAGGACACAAGGGGCTGAGAGGGAGCACGGCCAGGACAGTGACCTGAACACGGAATGTCATGGCCAGCACAGAAACTGGGAGGGGTGGTGGCTGGGAACAGCTGATTGCTGCTTGGGCATGGGATGAGGTCAGTGGCTAGTGAGCAACTATCCTGTGCATCACTGCTTTTTCTTGGGGTTTATTTCTTTCCCTTTTTTTGGTTCCCTTATCATCATGATCATTATATTTCAATCACTAAACTGTTCTTATCTCAACCCAGGCTTTTACCCTTTTCTCCTGTCCTCCTCCTCATCCCACTAGGAGGAAGAGTGAGGGGCTGCATGGTCCCTAGTTGCCAGCTGGGGCTGAAGTACACCAGCCCTTCTACCAGCTCTAACAGCCTGCTCCCAGTCTCCTGACTACTTCTACAACCCATCTGGTCCCCTTTCTCAGTCTGTTCTATTTTTCCTATTCCATTTGCCCCTGAATCTCTCCTGCTCAAGTTGTAGTTTATGTTTTGCATCACCTCCTTCCAATACAATTCTTTATTTAACTGTATCCTCTACCACATTTGTGGCTAAAACTACTCAAGGCATTAGTGAGCTAAAACAGCTTCCTCATTTACAGTGCTTGGACTGAAGAAGGAAGATCAAGAGCATAGGAGAAGGCTGTCTAGCTACTAACTGTGCCTAGTCCCATCAAGTCCTAAAGCAATCTGTGTAACACATAACGCTCCAGGCCTATTTCTAATATGATGCATGCCCTGTTCAAAGGATGTCTGGGAAAAATATACACAACAAAGCATTTCTCAAGGATTCCTGAAAGGACAACAATTTGGCTGGACTGGGATAATGCTTTCACAGGGACTAAACCTGCAACAAAGGCCAACTTCCTTTCAATTTTCAATTTGTTAGTGCAGAGTGGATAGCACTAAAGCTCTTGACAGGGAGGGAGAAAAAAACGTAGCAGCATCCTTAACAAAATACATGTTTCTCATTCTCAGAGCAGCTTAGTATTTGGGTATTTACTAACATAGCTTCTGAGACATCCTCCAGCCCTCCAGTATGGATAACTAATAACTCTGCATTTCCATAATTCCATCTCTACAAAAAATGCAAGTAAAGCAGTAAAAACGTTGTTTTACCCATTTGCAAACAACACTGTGCCTGAAACACTCTTTATTTTTACTTCAAAAATATGAAAGAACACCCTGCTCACCCAGTATTACTCTTTTTTTACCTTAGTCTTATTCTTAGCATGGAACAGTAAAGCCAAAGTTCATGTGCACATATGACATGGTGAGTCGAAATGATGACTTTATTCAGCATCACTACAAACCCAAGGAAGTAAAAACCTGAGTGTGGTGCTGTGTTTTGTAACTGAGTAAAACCCCAGCACTCATGTTCAGTGACTACATTACCTCTGAGCCAACATTTCGGCGCTTTGCTTTTTTAATAGCTCTGTTCTTCAGGACCTCTTCACTTGCCACAGAGAATGTTCCCACCTTGAAGAGGAAGTTATGGAATCATTAGTGGAATATTCAAAATACACAACATGAAGGGATGGCCAAGATCAGGTTTTGAACACAAGTCTAACACTGCTACCAAACAAACAAGGGGAGAAGTTAAAATACAGCACTGTCATTGGCTTACCAGCTACCTGCAGGTGAGTTGATACTTGGAAAACTCTTTCTGGTTCTGCACTACATTTCTCTTTGTGCTATTTCCATTTTTATTAAAACAAACAGTGTAAGTTTTGCTTTGCTTTTTTAAAACACAGCTCTAAGATCTCTCTGCTGAAGGGAATCTGTCAGTAATCCACAGTTTGGAGCAGTTATATGGAGATGTGGGCTCTAAGGCAACCTCCAGCAGCCTGCTGTAGTTCAAACACTAGCAAAGACAGCTAATGGCTCAGTACCACCCTGCAACAAATGAGGAAATTAAGTTTTCTTATATTCAAATTCCTGGAAGAGTTAGTTTTCTTTTTTACATTTACAGGCCTAAGCATTTAATACTTTTAGTTGGACAAAAACTAAACCAGTTTGTTTAAATATGAGCCATAAAGGAAGTTTGAGACATTAAAGGTGAAAATCTCTTTTTACAATTAGGTGAAACATACCACTCAACTATTTGCCTAATTCCTCTGGCTGTGTGGGGAAATTCAGCTAAAATTAACATAGCTCTAAAATTAGCTATTACTGACCCTCAAAAAATATACTGGAGGCATACATTTATCTCCAGAAATCAAATCTGCTTTTAAAGAGTCCAAAAGCATTTTAACAAGCCTGGGGTTCCCTCTAAAAATACTAAGTTCCTTTCTCCAGAACCACTGACGAAATTTTAACTCTTAAAAGCTATTTTGCTATATGGTCTGCGTAACTGGAAGCTTTTTAAAAATAATTTTTTTAAATCCACTTCTATAAAATTATCTTTAATTGCTAAAATTTTAACCAGTTTTGCTGTAGGTTTTATGCACAAGATACACAGCAAATGTAAACAGCTACTAGCAGGGAACTAATTTGTATTTTACCTCTTCAGCTTCATCCTCCTGGTCCCAGTTTCGGTCAGTCAGTTCCTTTTCAGCAATTCTCTTTGCCATTTTTCCACACTTGTGTGGGAGAAACAAAAAAATCCTAGAAAGAATTGCACAGAAATTAAATTCTAAGTGGCAGTGATCTGCAATTTGTATTCTTAGAACAAGAAAACAGGAACTGCAGTTCATATAGAAGCAAGTCAAGATTGGAATGACAACTGAAAACCAAGTGTTGTGGCAAAAACAATCAACAGCACTTGAGATTAAAGTTGTGGTGATCAGCCATATTCAATCTTAAATTAAAGAAACAACAGAAATGTACAGTGCAGTTATGGGATAAATATTCTTTGGCAGATGGAATAATTCCTTTCAGAACCTTAACTCATATACTCTTATTCTGAAGGGCTACAAAAACCCCAAAGCTGTGGTTAAAACATTCCATATTTCACTCCACATTGCCACCTCAGGATACCTATGTAAGCAGCAAGAAAAAAGGGAGTTGCTTTATAACATCTGAAATAAATACCAATGAGGACCCACTGAATCAGCTGAGCAGAGAGCTTGGTTAAGACTGAAGACAATGCTCTCCTTTAAAAAATTGGATTGGTGATCCATTACTAATTTGAAAAAAAAATTACAAATAAATGAGATTGGCTTTCCTACAAAGGATACGTAAGTCATGCCATGGATTTTAGAGCAATTACTGTAAGCAAAGAAATCATCATTTTGCTGGTTATTCTGTGATGTAAAGCAAAATCAGCTTTGCAGAAAGGAATGTCTGTAACTGTTCTGAGTCCCATTTTACTAAAGTACAACTTATGAGCTGTGCACAAAACCAAAGAAAGAAAACATGGTAGCTGGATTCAGTCTAAAAAACCTGGCAAGCAATCACTGTACAGGAATTTTATGTGAAAAAAGAGCTATTTCACTAACTATGGTTATATCTTCTGACACTAAATATGTAAACTTACCAAAGGAAATATGTAGTTTTGTTGCAATTTAAATCTCAAACAAGCACAAAAATTAAAACTCTTCTGAAACCCCCTTGGGTTTGTGATTAAGACCTGCCCAGGAAAAAAAAGACAAAAAAATTACACAAATAGCTGAATTTCAGAGCCAGAAATTGTAATAATACATTGTTACAAGGCATCTTGTTTATATATTGAAACATTTTAGAGCAGTAAATCCAGCAGCACGGCAGTCTGGGGGGATGATACATCCAAGTCCTAAATTTTGTCTGACATACATCACAAATAAGGGCAAGTTACTAGAGCTTCTGGAAGTAGAGGGACAAAGATTGGCTTGTGTATACATATTTAAATGCCCTGATCCACTCTGTCCTGAAAGTAGACATCCTTGCTTGATAACCCCTGGGAAATCATTTCAATCTAACCCATTGAAAAGCTAAAAAGAAGTTATTTTAAAGCCACCTTTATTTAAATTATTACTTTATTATATAATTTTTATATAGAACGTATTAAATTATGTAATACATTTTCATTTTTAATTTATAATAAATAAAGGTATTCTGTATATATAGGCTGCATATATTCATATTATATATATTCTATATATTATACCATAGCATACTATAATATACGATAGTATATAATATACTATAACATAATTTAAATATATTAGTTTCATTATTACAATAAATATTTGAATTATTGAAAGAGCACATTTACTACAGAGCCTGTCCCCCACCAAAAGAGAGAAAACCTTGTCTACCTAAGCTCCAGGTTCTCTGCAGCCACCTGTCTTACAGTTTCTCTTTAAAAGCATTGTAGAGGCTCTAATGTGACTCTGTAACATTAGAGAACCTGAAGCGTATTCTCTCCCGTGAAACAGGAACCAACACAAACCTACTACATCTGGTTGGTGTTCACAAACTTCATGAAGCTTTCAGAGCACATGTTGTGAACAGGCTGACATAGAAGTATTTTGAGAACCGTATCAAAGAATCACGGAATATTCTGAGTTGGGAAGGACCCACAAGGATCATCAAGTCCAGCTCCTGGCCCTGCACAGACACTTCAACAATCCCACCCTGGGCATCCCTGAGTGTTGTCCAAACGTTCCTGGAGCTGTGGCAGCCTTGGGCAGTGCCCATTCCCTGGGGAGCCTGGGCAGTCCCAACACCCTCTGGGGGAAGAACCTTTCCTGATATCCACCCTAACTCCTGTTCGCTTAACAATCGTGTTCAAAAACATTTTTCAACACGTTTAAAAACAACACAGCACAGACGCTTTGCTGACCTACAGAGATAACACCCGGTAGCTTCATACCCTATTTACCGCAGCCAGGCTTAGCGGTCACCCGAGCAGCGAGGCCCGGAGCCCCGCCGTGCCGGTGTCGCGGTGCCGGAGCGAGCGGAGCCGGCTGCCGGGCCCGGTGGTGCCGGTGTCGCGGTGCCGGAGCGAGCGGAGCCGGCTGCCGGGCCCGGTGGTGCCGGTGTCGCGGTGCCGGAGCGAGCGGAGCCGGCGGTGCCGGTGTCGCTGCAGGTCCCGGCGGGAGGAAGCCGAGCCGGCTGCCGGGCCCGGCGGTGCCGGTGTCGCGGTGCCGGAGCGAGCGGAGCCGGCTGCCGGGCCCGGCGGTGCCGGAGCGAGCGGAGCCGGCTGCCGGGCCTGGCGGTGCCGGAGCGAGCGGAGCCGGCTGCCGGGCCCGGCGGTGCCGGTGTCGCGGCGTGTCCCGGCGGGAGGAAGCGGAAGCCACCGCGGATCCGCCGTTCCGCTTCGACACCCGGCTCCGCTCGCTCCGTGCCGGCCACGCCGCGCCTCGCCCGCCCGCCTCACCACACACCGATCCGCGCCTTCCGAACCCTACCGACCCCCGCGCAACCCCGCTCCCTCCATCCGCACCCGCACTGCCCTGCACCCTCACCGCGCCGCTCACTCGCTCGCTCGGTGCTGTCCCCGCGGGAGGCAGGGTCTCCGCAGAGGCCGCACGCCCCGCCGTGCCCCGCAGCGCCCCGATCCCGCCGGGCCCGGCCGCTCGGCGCCGCCGGCACACGGGGCTCGCTGCTGCTGCTGCGGGCCTGAGCGGGAAGGCCGCGCCCGCCGCCGGCCCGCGCACCGCGCGTGCGCCCGCCGCGGCCGGCAGCTGCAGTACCGCCGGCGGCCGCGGGGGGCGCCGCAAAGCCGGCGGCGGCGGCCACGGGAAGGGGGCGGTGCGCGCGCCGCGGGTGACGTGGCTTCCGCCGCCAGCCGCGCTCCTCACGAGTTCTCCCGGAATCGCCGGGAAGGAAAAATCGTATTTTATAAGGAAATCTGAATTATCTTCTTTTGATGCTGGCGAGGCACTGGTTCTTTTAGTGCCGGCGAGGCGCTGGTTCATCCTCGACCGGCGGCCTTTTGTGTAAAAGAGTAATACAGTTTTGTGGGTGCCCGGCGAAACTTCCGCCCCCACGCTTATTAAATATACATTGTGAAAAATGCATGTTTTATGATTGGCTTTTCGCAGATGTTACAATGAATATTATATGTGTAATGTTAAAAAGTTATGCTGTATTAATTCTCTTACGTATTAAGTGTAGTTTTAGGTTACAACATAATGTTAAAATAGAGACTATGTATGTGGGGGAAGTTTTTCTTTTTTTTAGGGATGAGATACTCGATTCGAGGGACACCTAAATCGTCCAAGAGAAGATAAATGTATTGTTTTCTCATCAGAAGAAGCTAATTTCTTCAGGCCTTGCTCAGACTCGAAGATGCCAGGGGATTAAAGGAAACAGTTCTTGTTTTAAATAGAATGTATGCATAAGCATGAAGGATGTATGAATATGCAGCAGGCTATTGCTTTTACGATTATTCCTTTGTTCACAAGGCATGCTTTTCGTGACTTAGTGTCCGAGAGCAGCCAGACGTCCGTAATTCTTTGCCTTTTATTGTCTTGTAATTGTCCTAACTCTAAACTTTATTACTCTAATTGTATTACTATTTTTATAACCATTTTATTATTATTAAACTTTTAAAATTTTTAAAAACCAAGTGATTGGCGTTTTTCACATACATTTTTATCAAATATTCTCTGGCTCTGAATTCTGTAATTCATCATTTTTTGTGGAAAAACACCGATCACTTGTTTTTATAAAATCTTAAAAGTTTATTAGTAATAAAATAGTTATTAAAAATAGTAATAAAATCAGAGTAATAAAAATTTGGACAATGAGGATTAGAATGCTACGAGATAATAAAAAGAAAAGCATTCAGGACGTCAGGATGTTTTTGGGTACTGATCTGCCAAAAAAAATGACTTGTGAACAAAGGAATAACCCTTAAAAGCAACAGCCTGTTGCATATTCATATATCTCATACATGATGCATAAATTCCTTGCAAGTTAAGAATTTTTTCTGGTTTTTGTCAGCTTCTTCCCCTTAATCCTGGTGGTTCCATAGAGACAGAGAGAAGGTGGAAGAATGTTTTTTCCAATAAGGAGGCAGTAACTCTTTATGTGCCCTGTCACTGTTAACTCTGTGCCAAGAGTTTCTTAATTATTTTCTCCCTTTTCTTGAGCTAGTAAAAAAAATCTTGCATCACAGAGTTTCTATTTCAACATTATGTTATAACCTAAAGCTATATTTAACACACTACTTAAGAGAATTAATGCAGCATAACTAGCATTACACATGTAATATTCATTTTAATATTTGCAAAGAGCCAAGAGCGAGTATCTCATTCTTTTAAAGAAAACTCCACATACATTGTTTCTATTTTAACTACAAAACTACATTTACCATAATATTAACATGTTAATACAGCACTTCTAATCAATATAACATATAGTATTCAAATTAATATTTGCGAAAAGCCAATCATAAAATATGTATTTTTCACAGATATGTTGAAATGTAAAAAGCAGAAAAATAAAAAGGTGTTCTTTTTTAAAATACTTATTTTATTTAACTAAACATTTTCTCCGCTGTTTGCACATTTTGTTATTCCAGAAGCATAGCTTTTTTCACTGCTTTATCTGTCAACTTTTATTTATTTTAAGTAGGGCACTTACAGTGCTGAAGAGAAAGGCTGTTTGTAAAATGTTCTTTCAATAAGGAGTTTTCCAGAGTCACTTAATAGGATTCCAGGCATTTCCCCTATCACAATCACCCTACTCTAAAGAGTAACTTTTTCCTTACTATCAGATAAATGCAAAATTTGAGAGAGTTTATATAATGTATATTCATGAAATGTGCTCTATGGTCTTTTTTAAAAACAAAACTAACTGGATCTCTCCACTGCTCTTCTAACACCAGCTAGAAAGAAAAGCTGGTACTATCTTTACTTTGCTCAGTTTGCAGCCATTGCATTTGTCTTCTCATCTCCATAATCAGCTATGCCGTGAACACAGTTCATTTGAATTAGGGATAATTAAGATAAGGTGTGCTGCAAAATCTGACACCTGTTTCTCTACCATCATCCACACAGGTGAGGCCAATTCTGTGGCTCTGTGGATAAAAGGTGATTCCACTGCCTTTTCCCAGGAGATGAGAGATCCTCTTCTGGCAGCCAAACTGAGTGGGGCTTCAGCACGGTGAGTATAACATTATGATAAGTATCAGAAATGAGGCAAATTATAAACTTCAGAATTCTTTAGAAAAGGAGAACAAACATTTTTTAGAAAATAACTTTGAAATAAATGTTAAATGAGGCCTCTAAGGAGAGTATCATTTAAGGGTGCTACATTTGATGTCTGAATTATTTGAAACTGCTATTTGCTTTTGTCGCAATCAAATATTTCAGGAAAATGACATTCATAGCTATTGTACAAGATATTTTCTAAGTCCTTGTGATTCAAGTATAAAAAAATCAAGAAACATTGCAATTTCCTCTCATCTTTTACTTTCTTTTTTGTAATCCAAGATAATAAAGCCCTTATTTCACATCTAGAAATACTTGAAATAATATGCTTTACAGGCAGGAAAGAGGCTTAGCAGCAGTTAGGCTATTATTTTCACTAAGCCAAATAATAGGCTTTAATAAAAAGCCTCTTCTTAGCTGTTTTGTCCATTGTTAACATGACTACATCAGTCCTGTATTGCTCTTATTTTGAAGGACTCTTGATGGTGCATTTTTTTTCCTCATGAGAGTGGTGATCTGTATGTTGGTAGCTAGTCCTGGCTGATGTGCCAGTTGTGCCTGTCCATGGAAAGCCACATTTTCCCCAACCAGCCTCTGACAGCTGATGCACGTGGGTCAGTCATCCCTATACAAAGTGCATGGCAGCTTAGATCATCTTGCTGAAAATCCTGTGTGCAGTGCACCTGGGATTACAAATGCTTTGGGTTTTCAGTGTATTTGTGAAGAAAAAATGGGGGTTTAGTACTAAGTGAGGGGATCATTAGTGCTGGGGCAGCATTAATGATTTTGTCTGTATTAACCATAGCTGAAATATACACTGAATATTTTTAATGCAAAGCCTTTCATTTTTCTTAACATTGCTGTCTCCACACATCCTTGGGGTTGAGCATTGCATGTTAAAGTGTAGAGCCTGCTGATTCCCATCTTCCCCAAGTTGAGCAGCCTTTGGATCAGAAACCTGCCAGAGTGTGTTCTGGAGTGTCCAGTAGCTTACTTAAACCAATTTATTTCATCTTTGTAGCCAGAAGAGAGCAGAACACAAGAGAATGATGTTTTAATGCAGTAAAAAAGCTGCATGCCTCTTTCTTACCCTAAGACCTCTGCTCTGTGGTGCAAAGTAACAGAAGTTTTGCTTCTTCAGATCCCACAGTAGAATCAATGTGCTTTATTCTCTGTGGAATTTCTTTAGGGAGGTTATTTCAGTCTGACTTCAGATTGTCACTGTTGTCATTCTTTTGGATCAGTTTGCTCCCAGATTGGAAAAATCAACTGTGTTAAGGTTGCTTGTAATCTGTCATAGGCTAGAGATGATTACATATATTACTTCACTTTTAGGGCTTGATCTTACTTCAGTAGTTATTGCTTTCTCTCTGAGAGTTATTTTCAGCTAGACCCTTCTCCAGACCTGGCCAAGACTGCAGTCTCAGAACTGTTAAAGCGGCAATAACCTCTCAAACAGATGAAGACAATGTTGGGAGGAGTATAGAAGAGTTAGAACAGGAGTGAAAACTAATTTCTTAGTCATCAAATCTACCGTTTCCAGGAAATAACTGTGTTTAGTCACACCTTGAAAGCAGCATCATCCAAGGGAAGTGCAAAGATCTTTCAGTGACCCATCCAGAGTGGTGTGGAGGGGAAGAGCCAGCTGGTCTTTTGTCACAGTTTTTCCGTGTGAATCAGTTTTTTGCCTTATCCCCTTTGTTATTAATATTTTTGCTGTTGCAGTTAGTTTTCTTATTTCATTCCTGCTTCCAGTATATTGTTAATTTTTACTTTTTTGTACCTGCAATTCTCAATGGCCTCCCCAGAGTGGGAACAGGGAGGGGAAAGATGGGGCAAGCCAGCGGTGTCTGCTTCGTGAGAGTCTCAAGGAGGGGGCACACTAAACTGGAGAGTGCCATTCCTAAACCAGGACACCTATAAAATACATTATCACTGATGATTAAAAATTAACTTTATGTCCTTTACAGCCTATGCAAACTGCAAAGTTATTGACTGACCTGGTCCTTACTCTCTTTCAGGTAGTCAAGTGCCAGTGAGAAAAGACTACTCAGAAATTCCACTGTGTTTTGATAAACATCCTGTCTCAAGGTGAGTGGGTTCTTACAGAATGCTGTTTATGACTTTTTCTCCCCTTAAGGAACTATCCCAAATAACCTGCAGGAAAATGTTAACATTTTTGTGGCAATTGAGAAATTTTCAGTGTCACTGGTGTTGCCTCATCAGCCCACAAACAGGTTTGAAAGCAATGGAGTTTTGTGTATGGAGTATGTTTCCTACTAATGCGAATTTCACTAGTCAAATTGCAAGAAGAATTTCCGTAGTAAGAGTTTTGTGAGTCAAACTGTACCACCACTGAGCTATATGACTGGAAATTTTTTTTTTTTTCCTTATGGAGTACCATACTTAGTGTATTAAGGAAAATGGGCCCAGGTCTTGGATCTGAAGCAGAGAACAAAAAACATTGATTACAACTTTTCAGCCCTCATCTTAAATGCCAAAATTCTAAGTGGACAGGCTCGTGTCTTCATCACTTGCTATGTATGTAGAGTGGCCTTTTCTGCTGGCTTTTGGCTAGTTAGTTTCAGAAGCATGTTTCAGTACACAAGGTATTGAACTGGGTCCTGGCAGTTTCATCATCTGAATTTTTTTCTGCTAGGAAATAAAGGATGAGATGGTCATCTTTGTACCTACACAGAGATTAAGTGATATAATCATGACATGAAATGTATGAAATGCTGTTGTCTTTCTATTTTTCCTATCCTGAAAGGTTTAAATACAAGATTTTCAGCGTATTATTGCCAATTTTCTGGGTACAGCTTTGATAGAAAGTATCTATAGCCTAGCTCACAGCTGAGTCCTTTGCCCATAAAGTGAAGAGATTTATGGATTACATTATGTTGCCACTTAGCAGAGCAAAGTTATTTTCCCTTGTCTGAAGACCAAGTGCATTTATTTTAAAAAGCCCAGTCTCTCTCTTCATATCCTCAGTATAACTGTGCTGTAACTGCCCATGAAATTATACAAAAGGAATTTCCCAAGTTAACTTTTAATTTCATTAATTAAGCAAAGAAAAGCAAATTCACTGGTTGAAGAACAGCCATTTTCTGCAGCTTTTCACACAACTGCTCTGGGAGCAGATTTAAAGAATGATTCAAATATCCTGTGACTCTAAGTGAAGTTTTTTCCTATTGCTTGCTACTTTTCTGTAATACAGTGTAACACTGTGATATTCATGTCACTTTGAGAGAGGTTCAGTTTATTTCTTTTGAAAAGTTGGTAAGATATTTAGAGTAAATCAATTTTATACTGTTGGCACTTGGGTGGAAGGATTTGCTATAATAAGCACCTCCCATGGCAACTCCTGTACCACAGCATGAAGTGGGCGGATTGATTTCTGAAATGCAAACCTTGTCCTGCAAGAAGCCAGACAGCAATGCATGAATGAGGCCTTTTTATCCTTGCAGTGGAATGGTGGAAAGTTGCTAGCTCATTTCTTTTAGCATTTGCAGTTTTAGAATAAGGGGAAGCACCAAGAGTGGATTGCTAGCTGGAGTCTGCTTGACAGCTGTGATGCAGAAGGATGGATGTCCTTCCAGAGGACCTTCATGTTCCTCTCTTCAGCCAGAAATTCTCATATGGCTGGAATTCTTGTAATTCTATTCAGCTGGAAATTCTCTTATGAAATTCTCATTTATTGTCTTCAGTCAGAATTTTTCATAATGTTTATATAATATCTCAACCTGTGCATTCATAGCACACATAGAATTTTCACAAGACTGGGACTCCAGGTGTTGTGTAGATCATAGCTGCTATCAGTTGGAGTGTTAAAGCTCTAAATTCTGTCAAACCTTTGATACAATTCTGACCACAACAATACAAGCTTCCAAATCACAGGCAAAAGGAATTCAAAGTGCTGTGAAACCTACAGGTTCCTCAGGCATAGCCAGGAGAGGCTTGTATGTAGTTATTTGCCAAAATAATGTGTTTAGCTGCATATTGAGAGACTGCAAGTGGCCCTTTTGCCAAAGATGACTTGGAAGCCAACTGATCAATAAATGGAAATCAGGTAAACACTCTTTACCTGGTCATTTATTCCTTTCAAATGCTGACAATATTAGGAATGTTCTAATAATTACTCGGTGTGTAGCCTCCAGAAAAGAAAACAGTGGGCTATAAACCTAGTTGAATTTGCCTTTTTCAGCTGTTTAGATGGTCTTTCAGGGAATTGCAAAATTGGGTCAGGCATTGCATTTGTTTAAAAACTATGTGTGAGTAAGCCTTTATTTCTGCTTGCTCTCTAAAGCCTCCTGGAAAACTGGTGTGGAGTACCAGGGGTGTTAAATCATGACAACTGTTTCTGAACAGTTTACACCTATTTCTGCAAGGTTTCCTCAGTTCCTGTTTGTTTGCTTGTCTTTAATTTCGGTCCAGTTTGAGATCTGGAATTTAATTTCTGGATCTCTGTTTCCTTCAGCAAATAATGGACTGAAGCCATGCTGGGAAATGTGCTGCAGTTTGATCAAAGCAATTTTCTGTATCTAACCCCAGATGAACTAGAATTTTGAAAACTATTTCTGGCAGGTCATTTACCTTTAGTATATTAGAATTCTGTTCAAAAATATGTTGTGGTACTTCTGCCTCTTTGTTACCCAGAATTGTCTGAGTCCTTTTGACAAATTCATGTCAAATCAAGGGCCACTGGAAGGTTGGCATGCTTGATTGCCTTCTTTGATGTGTATTAATAAGCCAAATCTGTGTTGCATTACTTTCATGGAACTTTCATGGAAGAGTGGAAGAAAATGGGATTTCAAAGGAACAAAATGAATCCTGATTTCAATATATATTCCTGAAACACTTTAGGTATTTGTTCACAACTTGTGGATAATAAACACTACTCATGCAACCACTCCTGGAAGATGAAAGATAGAAAAGAAAATTTGAAGTTTTAATCCAAACACATAGCTAGCCAGTGTCAGTTATTGCTTGATAATCTTTGTCCAGGCTGGTTTGGCCATGGGACTTCAATCTTCTGTTTTATTGATGTAGTTATTTAAGCCTTATTTCTTTCCTTTAATCAGCTAAAAGTATTGTGAAGACTGTGTTACAAAAAAGAGTAATTTCTTTTTAGTAGGCACTGATTAAAAAATAAAAGGAGTATGAATATGGGCAAGAATATTCATTCTGAAAATCAGTATTTTGACATGGCCAATACATATTGGGAAGGATAAACTTTTAAATACACAGCAGTGAGACACCCATTAATTTTCAGATCAATACAATTCCCATTGATGACAGTGGTGATCTCTGCATTTATTTCAATATTCAGTGAGTTCAGTCTCCTGAGAAGCAGTACCTTTTTAATTTGTAAAACTGGCCTGACATGTTGTTTTGTCCAGATTTCCTGCTGTGTTTGAGGTGCTTTAGCTATCCAGACTTGGAATTGTGTTTGAAATTCTGATGATTTTTTTTCTTTTGGTTTTGCTTTTTGGGAAGGGGTCTTGTGTGTTTTGATCTTGTTATATTTCCATGTATTGTTTTAGTCCTCATTGATAAGTCATTTATTTCAGAAGTTTAAACTTTTTTGAAGTCTCTAGCTTTTATATTATTATCACGTGCATAAAAACAAGAGTTGGTCGGAATCATTGGATACTGAAAAGGGTTTTAAAAGCAATGGAGAGGGCAGAGGACAATGCTGAACACTTCTCATGAGAGACATCAAGAAGGACCCTATGTGAAGGCTGGGGAGTGGGTTTTGTGCTGGGAGCAGGGAGACAAGTATAAATTCCATGGATGAGAATATGTGGACAACACTTGGCTCTAATGAGCAAAAGAACCCTGTGCACTTGGAGTCCCTCCACAGAAGTTGTTTCAGAGTTGCTTTATTGAATATTTATTTCTGTTAAAATAAATAGTGACTTCTCAAATAAGGCTTATTCGTTTGGGTAGGACAGTAGTATCTGGGAGAAGACATGATGGTGCCAGAGTAACTGTATGTAAGGTAGGGGCAGCACCTTTTAACACAATCCCTGCAATAAATTCAAACACCCATATTGGGTGTGTTAATGTTTATATACACATGTAGGCCATATCTTTATGTATGTGTGTGTTTACTGATGTAATTTTTTGGTTTCTTGTGGTTTGCCAGACATGTTGCAATGTCTCAGAAGTTAGTGTTATGGTATACGGTATACATTATTAAAAAAAAAAAAAAGGCAGCAAATTTTTAACATGTATTAACCAATATATTAAGGGAGCTTCTAAAGACCAGTGATACTCCACTGCGTACATGTGGATTTCCATAGTTAAAGAATCTGGATGATTTACTGAATGGCAAAAATGTCAGATTTCTGCTTCTGGTCAAAGCTGGACTTGATGATCCTTGTGAGTCCCTTCCAGTGCAGGATGTCTGTAATAATGGTTCTGTTATTCTGGTCTTCTGCATCCTGGATGAAATGCTAGTACATGAAATAGGAAAAATTAGATGTGATGAAACAGAACTCTGCCCCTACACTCCACCTTTTAGCTTACACTAAAATACAATGAAATATTTTTGAAATTTGTTTTGCATTCCATTTTGTAATTGTTTTGCATTCCGTCTTTTCAAATATTGACCCTCTTGGTAGGACAGGATTAACTAACAAATGATGGTGTCACTGATGCTTGAGAAACCTCTGGATGGAAAGCACTGTGTGTTTGTGCTCTCTGCTGGAAGTCACTGTGTATTTGTGTCCTGTTCTGTGGCACTGTGGAGGACTTGTCCTAAATAGACGAGCGATGTCTTGTAAAGAAAAAGGCACTGTTGTGGAAAAAAAGCAAGACCAATATCTGAGAATTAAGCAGCACATAAAAACCACGTAGCTCTTGGCTTAAATTTTCAGCACTGTCTTATATTTATCAGAGCAGTTCAGAAGGGAGCCATTTCATCCTTATTTTCTGAGTCCCTGAAGATTGAGTCAGGGGTGAGAATAAAAACATTTTGATGGCAAGAGGTTTACAATGGCATCATTGTCAGATTGGTACCTTGAGGGCTGTACTGGGGGCTGTTGTCATGCCTGTTTCTGCTAATGAGTGGATGCAGCTCTCACTCAGGTGCAGGAGAGATCAGTGTAATAATCCAAGAGCTCATAGTGGCTCATCTTTATTGTCAGCCTCCCATACTCGCTGTGACAAAGGGAAAGGCTTTGGAAAAACCAGACTCATTCAATGTAATTGGACTAAATGGATAATAGGACACTTATTACACATAAAACAGAATACTCTTTGCTGGCTTTTGCAAAGACTACAGCTCTCTGTCGTTTGATAATAGACATTTACTTAGGAGTCTTATTTTTTTTGTGTGCATTGTGATTTTTTAGATATTTTACTCACATTAATATTAATGAGAATTGTGCAAACAAACCCTAGGAATTCAGAAAAATAACACCCAAGACCTTTGTGTTTCTAGTAATCAAAAGCCTCAAATAACTAAGACTCTGTAATTGGTTCTATTATGGGACAATCTTGGATGGGAAAAAGAGCTCCAAGTATAAATAAAAGTCACCCACTTAGGGACGAATTCTACAGTCCTAGCTTGGCCTAGGTAGCAACTTGCTCTTCAGATGATCTAAGTCTGTCCAGTCATCCCAGCTTTTTGTGGAGTAAAAAGGAATTCAGAATAAAGCAGTATGAGCCTCCTGCTTCCCAGTCTAAAACCTTGATATAAGTTTCCTGTGTAGGGTTACCCTCTTGCCCTGTTGGCATCATTCAGAAATAGTTTTCAATGTGAGCAATCATGTTAAAATTATGAATTTTTAACTCAATGTTTAATTTCAATGATCTGAAAGTACTAGTAAGACTGGTGTTTCCACCTTTCCAGTTCAGCTCTGCATAGCTTCAACAACACTCATTTTGCAATTTATGGGTGCCTTTTATCCTCAAAAGGCTTTTCAAATATTCAACCATATTTTCTTGTCATTCAGTGCTTTGGCATAACAGACCTAGGTGTGAAACCATCAGAGTTCATAGCACTTGTAAATTGGACAAAGCCACAAAAAGGTGACTACTTGTTAGTGTTTATCTTGTAGAGAAGTATTACCGCAGGACAAGACTGTTAATGTCAAAATTTACATGATGAGACCAACCTTACAGTTAAAGAATTCCAGCTTCTAGTGTTTTTGTTATCCTGCTGTTTCTTTTTTTTTTAGAGGTGGAAAAATTGTGGGAGGCACATGGGTGTAAATTGCTCTAGTCTGAAAAGTGAGTGGAAGTAGGAGCAGAATTAACATTCAATTGCCACAGCTGCCCTTGAATAAAGTATCTCGAAGTCCTTCAGAGAAACTTGTTTCTGGTGAACCCAGCTGGCAATTAAAATGGAAGTGCTGGAGTGAAGAAGGAACTGGGGAAAAGGACAGGTAGTGCAGCTCTGCATTCTTGTTTTATTAGTATGTGAAGAAAAAAGAGACACTTGCCTGGTATACAGTGTGACCTGCCCCTGTTTTGTCCCCTCACTTAGTTATTGCAGTTAGCTCAAGAAATATCCTACTTGTTCCTCGTGGTTTCCTTATTAATTTGATATAGTACTTTGAGCATTTCCTTTGCCCTCCCAAGAGAGTAGGGATTTTCCTGAATGGGTCAGTACACACCTACTCACAGCTGCAGGGAAATTTCAGTCCTTTGGGGCCACCTGTGGCTGTGCTAAATGTAGGAACAAACCCAGGATTTGCCAAGCACTGAGTTAGTTTTTCTATTAGTTGTTTACACCTATCTCAAATAGACTGTCTCTGGGTCTGAAAAAAAGATTGCTTAGGAAAGCACCTCAATACACACATAATATGCCCCAGTCTCATCATGTACCTTTATGTAATCAGAAGCATGTGCATTCATTCAGAACAGAGTTATCCGAAGTAGAGCCAAGCTGATAGGAGAAACCAGCCTATTGCATTTGGGATGTTACCTTTTCTTAAAGAGAGGACTTTGCCTAATAAAATTGCTACTGTGTAGCTGAAAATGATGCTTTAGGAAGACTTTCAGCAAGGTTGCTGCCTCTTTGATTTCTATTTGTCCTGAGATCTTCCGAATGCCTGCAATAACCCTCTATTTTTCCCTGATTGGGAACATTCTGGTTGTGTTCCACTAGATGGCTTCGGGGAAAGCAGTTTTGCAGGGAGCAGAAACATGCAGCTCTTGGCATCCAGGGAAAACCTGTCTGGGATTTTTGTCTTCTTTTTTTTTTACAAGTTCACTCTCTATGTCATGCAACTGAGCCAAAAAGTCATGATCAGTGGGGTGGGAGAACTGCCTTGTTGGAGACTGCAGCAAATCCAGCATGCTGATCCTTTTGATCCTGGTTTCATTGTGAGTGCCAAGACTGGAGGTTTATCCTTATCATGGGCCCCTGGAACATGCAGATGTGAAAATTCTAGTCCCTCCTTGCTTGTTATCTGTGGCTGTGATTTAGACAGCAAGTGTGTGTCCTGGGGTAGGGCCTGGCAGTGTGGAGGCAGACTGATTTATTTAAAAAAATGGATATTGATCTAGTACCGATATCCAACTGTGAGGGACAAAAACTCTCAAGCAGTTTAAGGTTAGAAAGTGTGTGTTTATTGTGTGTGGGATTGCTCCCAAATCCACACCGCAGCTTCCAGGTGATTACAGAGCCCTTTTATCCATACAAGTATTGAATACCCAAAATACAAATACACATTCATCATTTTGGTACATCCCAATAATTTCAAAAGCTATTAAGCACGCGTGGTTTGTTCCTTGAAATGGGTCAGTGTCCCTTTCATGGGGAGGGGTCCCAAAATGAGGAAGTAAATGAAGTTTTCCTTGTTCTGACCTTTCTACCTTTTCAATGCAAATATGACAAATGAACTCTTGGTAGAACTCCCATTCCTTGTCTTCAATTGGTTTCAGAACAGAGGAGCCCCACAATTGTCTTATGTTCCTGAAAGCTATTTGTCAGTTTCTATATTCTTCATTATAAACCCAGCTAACTAAACATTGTGCTGACAAGCAATCAATTATTAGTTAACTACTAACTCCTAACTTCATCAAGGCCTACTCATTTATTTTAATTAACTCTAGTAAGCTTATCTCTAACTAAAATCTTATCTCCTCTAAAATCTCTAAATTCCTTAAAATTTACATTTCAAGGCAAGGGGTGAACTGGACTGGTGTGTGCACTAGTGACAGAGATGCTCATGCTCCAGCAGTGGCATTTCCCTCTGTTTACCAGGATATCTGAGACTTCCTGCTGTCACTTCACCTAACACACTCTTCTAGCCCAGCAGTATAAATTCAGTGTCTCAAGAGCCTATTTTTACCCCAATATACCTTTTTGGAGTTCAAGCAAGGGTTCTGTATGGTCAACTCCTGCATTACTCTGTATCTCCTGCCATTTAAGAACATCTTTGCTGTAATTCTTAAGGAAGTCCTCACCCTCCTGTGAAGATATTCTTTCTTAGATTACAAATCAATATCTATCTTTAGGAAAGAAAATACAAGTTGTAATTCAACTGTAAGTTTAAGTCAGTATTCTAAGGAATAGCTGTGTTTGTATATGGGACTCTGTTTACTTGCAGTAACATTATGAAGAAGCAGAAATTCTAATCGACACATTCACAGTGGCATGTTTAGTATTTGTAAGTGTCAGCCCTAGGGATGTCAGAACCACATTTATACACAGGATTGACTTAGTCCTTCTCCTCAAGCCCTTGACCATCTCATACGATTCAACTTTTCAGCTGAGAACTGTGAGTTCTCAGTCTTCAGGAGGTGAAAATGAATGGGCCATAAAGGGAAGGGGTGTTATAGCTTGGAGACTGGGTTTTCTTTCCTAGCTTCCTCAAGGCATCCATTGAACTACTCTGAAAATCTCTGAACCTCACTTTGCTTCAGCTGCTCCATCTATATGCACTTGTCTCTTAAACCCCTTCAAAATCAGGTCTAAGCATTGTCTAGGCATTGATGCTGAACACACAGTGATGCTGCTAAACTCCAAAATAACTTTGTTCATCTTACCAGTTCATCTTGGAATTACTGGCAGGATAGATCTGTACATCCCACGACTAATTTGCAATAACTGGAACTGAAACATGTACAAATTGTTACTTTCCCAGCTCTGGTTCCCAAAGATGCTAAATGCAGAATGACCACACCAACATTTCAGATCAATTGATCAGCAGCAAAAAGGTGGGGAGCTAAAGTGCTCTTGTCCATTATGCAGAGACAGTAACTAGCAGCAAAAAGTCACCTTTAACCACCGTAATTAACCACTGCCCAGGCAAAAATCTGACTTTGTGTAAGTCTCAATTACCTTGTGCAGAGGAGCTGAGCAGCACAGTGCACCCCTGCCAGAGGAGTCTCCCCAGGTTGGCATGGAGGGTGAGTAGCTCTGAGCTGCTCTTGTGGATGGAAGCCAAGAGAAGCATCTGCACTAATTCCTGCTGATTGCCTCCTAGCATCAATGGCTCTGCATGGGCTGCTCAAAAAAGCCACCTTCAAAAGTCAGCTCCACCAGAAAAAAAAAAAAAATCCAGAGCACTAAGGACACCCAAACACGAAATCTATATTCACTGGCCAACAGCAGTCACCCTTAGATCACCCCCACCTCTTCTTATTTCTCATGTGTCACAGGCAATTAAGGGGCTGGGCAGAGCTTGGTGCTCTGGCAGTGGTTTTTCTGCTGCCTGTGTTTTTCCCTCCTTGTGCACAGGGGACTGCTGTGGGAGAGATGGGAATGCAGTCAGAAGCTGCACAAAGTAAATCAAAGAATACTGCCAGGGCAGCCAGTTTTCTCTTCACTTGTTGCAGCTCTGTGAGCAGAACCATAATTGCTGTGTATATGTGGAAAAGAAATACTACAAAAAAACCTACCGTGATAAAATAATGGCAGAAAATTCAGAGCTGATATTGGCAATCCTGCCCTCCCTGTGCAGTTCAGAGAGCCGGGCTAGCTCAGGTAGCACTGGGGAACTGCAGCCACACAATGAAGTGCAAACGCTCTCTCAGCACACGCCTGCTGTTTGGAGAATCTCCACCCTAACGCTTGCATACTGAGCAGTTAAATTTGACAAGTGGCTTTCGTTCCTATTTCTGTGTTGCTTTTCATCAGCTTAGTGTATATCCCTCTTGTTAGTGTACTGTCATGTTCTGATAACTTCATTTCTTCATCCTTACTCTCCCCTTCTTCTGCTTCCAAGCGCTGTTTCCCAAATTCCTTCTCAATAGATCTTGTAGCACTAGAGAAATGCTTTAAATTCCATTGGACTCTGCTGCTCTCTGCTCACCAAAGAAGCATCTGAACAGATTCTTTCTTGTATCAGCTACGGAAGTTTGTTTATTCTGCACCAAACGGAGGGGAAAACAGAAATGAGCAGGATTTTTCCATGTCTTCTGAAAAAGTTTAGTTTGAATATCAATCTCATGCAATTTTGTCCTAATTTATCTGAGACTGTAAGTCCTACTTTTGCTTATTTGTGGCGTTACTAATTCTCAATATGGGCTGCAGTAAGACCGATAGTGTAAGAACCTGAATTCTCTACAGTAAAATTTGTAGCTTATCATATTCAGTAATAAGAAAGTAAGTTGTAAAGTTTAAACAATTTCTCTAAACTCATAGAAAAATAAAGCTATGGTGGAAGATCATAAAACACATAAAGATAATTCAATATTTAATATCTTCAATTCTGCTGGACCAAATTTATTCATGAGGTTTAGATTTAAATACCATCCTGTCTCAGGCAGGACAAGTCAACTCTTTTCCTGTGACACAATATATAGAATGGTGGAAGAATCTTTCCAATCTAAATGAATTTGAAGCTTTGCAAGAACATAATTACCATGTACGCAGCCATGTGCATTTGGTCCAAGATCAATTTCCCAGAGTAGGTGAAAATTTATGGATTAACACACAGACATGCAGACTGCTACAAAGATCTCTGCGAACAACTTGTTTCCTTCTCAAAGTGCAAACAAGCTATAAAAAAGTACAGTTCAGGGTCAAAGAAATCAAACAATGTTAATGTCAAGATGGACAAAAGTATCTGCAAGGAGATACTTAAGTTAAAACAATAGAAAACATTTCTATGTGACTTCATGTCTTCATGATTAAGTTTGCTTCCAACAAAACTCTAAGACCAGTGTGAACTGATTAAGAGAGGTTCTATTTGGAATTTCTAAAACAACTTAATTGTAATCAGCATTTCAGTCTGTTTCTTGACTGAAGAATTAGTAAAATTCATCTAGTCTGTTCATGTTGCAATCAAATGGCAAAATGTGACCAAATACCACCCACACATAAAGGAGGGCAAGGAAAACTTCTGAATGTTCTGACCAGAAGAGTAGAGTTTAATGTAGAGTTTTGGGGAAGGGGAAATGAAAGTACTGATAATCACCTCAAAATTGTAAATAACCTCCTTGTAAGCAGATGTCAGTTAAGCAGAGA